TTCATCATTGGGATCTTGTACCTTTACATGACAGGTCTTGGTACTCATTTTTTCCCCTTGTCCCTGCCCTCCCTTCACCCCCTCCCCCCCCCATTTATGAACACTTTATTTCCATTTTTTCATTTTCTCATATTTTTTCTTTTCCCTTATTACATTTCCCCTACCCTTCCCACTTCCCCTATACCTTAGGCCTTTTCTTCCTATTTCACATTGTCAATTATATCATTAGGATCTTATGTACTATTATAGTTTTTCACACCAGAGAAACTATTTGTGAACCTCAAGTTCTTAAAGTGACTCAAGGCTTTCCCACCTCTCAGAAGCACAGAACTTGGCAGATCACTTGGTGTGAGCATTGTACCAGGAAACATACTTTCCCATGACTTCTGGACTTATTTCCATTTTGCAGCAAGTGGCTGAACCATGACAGACACAGAATGATAGCCTTGGCACTCAGAAAGTCCACACAGAGTCCCCATGACCAGATGTCAAATATCCCAGAAGTTGGGCACCAAGGAAAGATTTTTGTGATCTTCCCTGGCAGGTCAGATGTCCTGGAGGAGGCAGCCCCCAGGTGGATCTGAGTGGGGCCCTGAGCTGACCCTGCTGCAGGAGGCATCTGATGCTTTGGGGCCTGGGGGCCTCCTCTTTACAAAGGAGGGGAAGCAAAAGCAGGGGTCTCTGGCCAGGCTTACCTTCTCAGAATCCCTCAGGGGGAAATGCCCAGAGAGTACTACAAAGCTGAGCTGAGTCATGAGCCTGGGTGCTTGGTTTCTAGGAAGAAAGGGCCATGTGCAGACAGCTCTGCTGAAATAAACTATCACTACTTCTCCCAGCCCCACAGGTGCGTGTCCTTGCTCAGACAAAGGCTCCTTCTGGCAGGTGTTGGCTGCCCACACTGCTAAAGGAGGCACCTTGGGGTGAAGAGATGAAGGCCAGGATGGGACTTACCTCCTAAGCAGCACCAGCCTTTGAGGATCCAGACTACACACCCCTCCAAGTGCTTCAGGCCAAACATGGGCAGTTTTACTGATCAAGCAGGAGCAGGCTGAACCTCAAGATCTCCTGAAGAGGTTGTTTCAGACCATGACATCCCTGCCACCCCGTGGCTGGCATCTCCAATGTCAGCGTGAGCTCATGATCTGGTGATAAAATTGGCAATGAGGCACCACAAGTCCTGAAGTCCCATGTCATCCAGAGAGATCCTTCTGTCCTGATCCTTTTGTCCTGCACTATCCATGGCCCAAAGGCTAAAGATTTGGGAGCAGCAAACCCTAACTTCCCACTTGAGCAGAACATCTTCCCTAGGACTGAGGGACCAGAGACTTAGCCCTCTGCCTGAAACACGAGTATAAGGGCATCACCCTACAGGGCCCAGAAAGGGCAAACCTCCAGCAGCTCTAATATTTTTCAATTGAGACATTCAGTTTTACTCTACCACAGAGAAACCATGCTCTCTTTTGGACTTGCACCTTAAACCCTTTACTTTGGCTGTGACGCACAGTGGGGTTAGGGATATTAGAAATGAAAGCAAGATCCTCAGTCCCGTGTCTATTTTTCTGATAACTACTTCTCTTTCTCCATCAGCTTGAGTCAACAGTACTCAGATATGCTAACGTGTGATACAAAATATCCCTGGGAGACATTTAAAAGCAGAATGTCAAGGGGTGTGAGCTTCAGAAGTGGGTTGGAGAAATTTGACGTTTCACTGCTTTTCCGGTGGCCCCATCTAGACATCCGAGCAGGCATGCTGCCAGCAGACAAGTACATATCGGAAGCCAGGGCTGTGCCCTGCCCTCTGCCAGCAGCATTTGACAGAAAGGGAGCTGGAGGAAGGCATCTGGCACTGCAGCAATGCTGCCTCCCTCTGGGAGCTGCTTTCAAAGCCACATAAAGACATTCTTGGCTGAGCAGGCCTGGGAAGAGAAGACCAACCTCATGTGGGTGACTGGCTTGCTGCAGACCCCTTCCACTCTAGTGGTACATCCACTGAGCAGGGTCTTCCTCAGCCACTAACCTGACACCTCCTAAGTAACCTGACAGAGCAAAGTTCAAATCAGAAAGTGCCTTGAGCCACTCGGAGGGGGGAGGCTGAACCTGAAAGTGAAAACTCAGGTGACTGGCTGTGTGTATGGACTCTTGGCTATACAGTCACCCCTCTTCTCCTCTGTTTCTTTCCTAGGATTTGAACACTGTCCTCTCCCTGCCCCAGTACCCAGGGGAATTCCTGCACCCTGTGGTGTATGCATGCACTGCGGTCATGCTGCTGTGCCTCCTTGCCTCTGTTATCACCTACATCATGCACCAGAGGTAAGTCTGACACAGGGGAGTGGTGTCTCCCTGCTACCAGGAGAGACACCATGTTTTTTTTGTTTTGGGGGTTGTTTTTTTTGTTTGTTTTTTTGGTACCGGGGATTGAAATTGGGACCTTGCATTTGCAATGCAGGTGGCGGCACCACTGAGCTAAATCCTCTGCCTGAGACACCATGCTTTCACCCTTGAGTGCAAATCCCTGAAGGAAGGCCTCACCCCCTCCACATAGCAAGATGTCCCCAGAAGGTAGTTAACACTACATACCAGCTCAAGCCTGCCCACACTCTGGGTGCCTATCACAGGAGCCAGCAGGAGACAGTGCCCAAGGAAAGCCCAGCTCTTCCATTCTGGACCTCCATCAGGTCTCCTCAACAGCAGCCTCCACGTTCTTGTCAAATTAGGTGAAATAAGTCCTTCCTAAAATGGGTTCACATACACTGAGGCCCTGCCTAGAGGACTGCAAGACCTTTGATATGCCTGTACATCATTTCCTTTTACCTGGGAAGGGAAGGACAGTTGGATTTATAATACTGAGCTTGCTTTTGGCCACCTTGTCTGAAAGCAGGAGTGATGGTGACCTCACTACATCACTTGGAGATGCACTGGAAAGTGTGAGGAGGGGAGCCGGCCACAGCCACAGTCCATCCCATAATCAAACTCATGGGTAATACTTAGGCCTTGGCCATACACACAGTCATGAGAAGAAGCTTGAGTGCATCCAAGACTGTGGTCATGGTAAGAAGCTCAGGCTCACCCGAGGCCACAGTCACAGGAAGGGGATGAGTAAGTCCAAGGCCACAGTCATGGGAGAGGCTTAGGCAGGTACAAAGCTGTTGTCTTAGTCTGTTTGGGCTGCTATAACCAATTACCACATACTGGGAGGTTGCTAAACAATCATTTAGAATAGAAATAGAGTTCTCACAGTCCTGGAGGCTGGAAGTGCAGAACAAGACACCATCAGATTTAGTGACTGGTAAGGGCCTATTTCCTGGTTCATAGATGGCACCCTTTCCCTGTGACCTCACATGGTGAGGCAGCTCTCTGTGGTCTCTTTTATAAAGACACTAATCCCAGTTATGAGAGCTCTGTTCAAACACCTAACATCCTAATACCACCACATTGGTGATTAAGTTTCAACATATAAATTTGGGAGTAATACATACATTTAGACCATAGCAGCTGTGATTATGAGGAGAAGTTTGGACACGTTCAAGGTCATGATGAAGTCATAGTTATAAGTTAACATCAGTCCTGGCCATAGCCAGCTGGGCAGAACCTTAGACATGTTTGTGGCCATGGAGATGTTCTCATCCATAGACAGTGTCCTAGTCAAAGCCCAGGCACTGGAGCACCTGGAGTTGTGCTTATAGTTACATAGCCATCACCCTCTTTCTGAATAATAGATATCTACTCAGAGAGGGCAGAACCCCTTCTGGGCATAACTTCTATCACTGGGACTGTGGGTAAGTCATAGTCTTGGGGCTGTAACACATTCATCTGTCAAATGATCAAATTGGTCAAGATTTTGCAAAAGCTCTTCCAGGCATAATACTCTGTAAGGTGATCTACCGCACAGTCATTCAGTGGTAACCCACTAAGCTGCAGACAGCACTGTCAACTCTCTGTCCCGTGATCTAGTCCTTTGAACATGTTGCTCCCAGCTCACTAAGGGGCTACTATTTCCACTGTGGACAGAGCTTGGCATTGGGGCAAGAGTGCTTGTTTCCATGCTGTTCCTTAATATGCTGGCTCCTAACATGAAATCTCCGTTTCCCACAGTGCCATCCGGATCAGCAGGAAAGGCCGGCACACGCTCCTGAACTTCTGCTGCCATGCAGCTCTGACCTTCACTGTGTTCGCAGGTGGCATCAACCGCACCAAATACCCAATCCTGTGCCAGGCGGTGAGTGCTGTCTGTGTCTCACTGTGCCACAAAAATGAAAGTGTATTTATCAGCATTCCTACCAAAGGGGAAATGTGTGCTAATTGTCTTGTTTATGAACTAATACTTTAGTATTTGCTCAGCTGTTGCTCATGAAGGGAATAGTTAGGCATATATCCAGCAGGTCCCTATCACAGTTTCTCTCCATCTGAAGCCAATTGTTTTGCTCATCATTTGATTCTGTAAAATAATTTACTTTCAATTGGACCAGCTTGTTCTGAGACCTATATGGTATGCAGCTCCAGTGATGGCGAACCTTTTGGAGCTTTCAGTGATACAAACAGCCATAGGTTTGCCACTACTGAGCTAGCATTTACTATGCAGCAAATGGTGATCTTCCTGAGAATCAGGCACAGCTGTCTTTCCCAGAGAAACTGGCAGGGCAGGCTCAGGAAGGACCAGGTGAAGCCTCCTAGGTGCCAACCTCACCATGCCATCAGGAGGAGCAGCTGTGGCATTTGCAGTTCACCAAGCTGTCCTCAGTAGGCAGCGCACTTGGCAGTTCTGTCTTCTCTCAGGAAAAGGGGGATCTTGGAAGGATCTGAGACTTGAAAAGAACAGTGAAAATTGCCAAATGGATCCTCAGTACACCGGTGACCTGGCTTTGGTTTAAAAGAAGGAAATATAAAGCAGCTGTAGCTTGTGGAAAAACCCACAGTAGAGACCCTCCCATCAAAATGAGGCATAGTCCTATTCCCATTGGGCTGCGGTCCTGGGCCAAGGAAGAGAGCCCAGCTATAGCTTGAAAGTGGGTGTTTGAGAGACAAGAATCCTGCTAGATACATTCCATATAGTATCTGTATATGCACCCAATCTCTATGCTGGCTCTGTGTCCACAAATGGGACCATGCCCAGGGACCCAGAGCAACTTACCAAAGATTTCTATAGTTTTTGTCACTTCATGGGCCAGTGACGATGGGCTAGTAACTCGGGCATTGTCCTGCTTCTTTGCCCCTTTGTTATTGTGAATTCAATGGAGATCTATTGACAGCCACAGATGCAGCCTTCTGTAGGCCCATATGATCCTGTACTGATGTCAATGACCATCAGCCATCCCCTGATCTTTCCACCTGCACAGATGGCCACAGGCGAGCCTCACCCCGGGGTGTCTGTGGATGACAGGCTTGCCCCACCAGAGTGCTTCATAGGGGAAAATTCAGACTGTGAACACATACCTTCCCCCCATGTAGTTTCTGCGCCCACCCGACACTGGCCTGGCATAGACATGGGGATGTTTCCTTTCCCAGCACTGACCCAAGTTGAGTCTTGGAGTGTTACATGAGCCAGCCAGCCATGCCTGAGTGACACTGCTACTGTCCCCGAGCCCTGGGCCCCAGAAGATTCTGGAATGTGTGCCGGCATGTCATGTCCATGCTCCACCTAGACCCTAGGTGTGTCTGCAGCACATTTGGCAGCACAATATGAAGGGGAGCTGGGGGGCAGATAGTTTCTGTCTTCATGCCTCTTGCCAGCTGGAAACAATCATGGGGAGCACAGGGAAATCCTGTTTATGCCTTGCTATAAATGCCTGCCTGGGAGTGATCTGAAAGGCAATCAAGTGGGCTGTTATATTTATGACTGCACTTTGCCACCAAGAACTCCACAACTAAGACCCACCAGCAACTCAGCCCACTGGAATCGCATCAGGGTTTCAGAGAAATGGTGCAGGGCCCTGCAGCAAACCTGCAATTATTCCCATGCTTTGGCCAGCCCAGGAGAGGATCATAAAGGTCAAGAGGCAAGTGAGGCCCAACACCAATGTTTGATAGAGGAAGTCAGGGGTGGGTCTGGAAGGACCTGCAGAGTTCAGATCTGTAGAGGAACTCATGCTAAGGTGGAAAATGTCCAATTCATTGTGACAATCCCTGAGATCCCCATCAGAGGAAATGGCCCCCTCTTTGGTGGCACAGGAAAGATCATGGCCCTTCAGATGCTATCTTGATCTCCTGATTACATTTCCAGAACATACCAGGCCTCATCTACTCATCCACCCACTCACTTGGCAAACATACCGACCAGGTGCCAGGGCTTGCTGTGGGTGCAGGGAACAGTCAGAAACACACTCACCCGGCTCACAGAACAGAGCCGCCATTGGGGGTGGGGGCGCAGACAGACCCAGCAAGAAGCCAGGGAAAGATGCTGAGCTGTTAACAATGGAGGAGAGGCAGGCTTGGTTCAACAGAAGCTGTGGGGCTGAGGACTGCAGCTGTAAATGCATCCACTGAGCCCTGGAGGTAATAGCCCCACCACACCCAGATATTTAACTCTCCTATGCCTGTGGACACAAATGTGTCTGTTACCACTGAGGGTCTGTAAGCCAGAGTCCAGGCTGGTTCTGATCTGCAGCCTGGCAGGTAGGGAAGAAAGCTGGCCCAGTTCTCCCAGCATAGCATCTATAGCCATCAAATATTAGGGGGAGACACCTGATCAGGAGCAGGTTAAATGTCAGACTGTGGGAAGCTAGAGCTGTCCCCCCCTCCAACGAAAACCTGTGACCAGCACTCCCAGGCCCCTCCTCTCGTCCACGTGTGGCTCGGCCTCACAGCAGAACAACCAGAAAAACTTGGAATGGCTGCAGAGAACAGAGTTGTTATGGCAACAGAAAAAATGACCATGAGCCTCATTAAAGTACTAAGTGACATCATAAACAAAAACAGATGGTCCCACATAATGAATGTGCATCAGGGCTGGCCCTGGGTCTGGAAGCGAGGGAGGGCAGCCTGCTTAGCACCTCCTTTACTGCAGTAGAATGCTCTCTGGAAGCCAGGGCAGCATCCCTATGACTTCCCCGTGCGTCCAGCCAAAAGTGGGTGTTGGAGAGATGGAGTCCTGTGCGTCCAGCCAAAAGTGGGTGTTGGAGAGATGGAGTCCTGCCAGATACACTTTCTTGTGATCCCCAAGCCCACACCTAAGAGATGCTTAGACAGGAGAAGGCCAGACCTCCCAGCTCACTTACTGTCCTCTTAGCCCCGTTCGTCACCCTCCTCAGCCCTAGGTGAGTAGACCAAAGCTAAGGATCAGGTTCCTTTCTAGGACAGATCTCTGATCTTTGTAGATGGCAGTGATAGCCATCCTACCAATTCCCGAAAAGAAAGGGCTCTTCCTTCAAGTCAAAGCCAGGACAACTTCCTCACCTTTGTCCCGTGCTTTCCAGTGCAGAGAGGTCTCATTGGCAGGTCCTGGTACCTCCCACTCTCAGCCAAGCCAGAGTGAGGCCTGAGTGCTTGGAAGGCCCACAGAAGCCCCCACATGCTGAGGGTCAGGAAAGCCGAGGGGAAAAAAACACTTGCAGGACATAAGAGCTCTGCACAGAGAGCTCACAAACAGTTTTTTATCTTTCCACCCTACAAAATCCTCAAAAATTATTGCAGAGTTTGCTCATAAGTATAAATTGAACTCTGGATTTGAGAAATTATTATAATTGGTGCAATGTTAACTTTATTCAGGGAATCTCTGTATTCCTTAAACATTTATGTCCTTTCCAATTATAACAGTATTTTACTTGTCATTTTGAAATGTCAGGTTATTACCTCAAAGGTAACCTCATTTTATGGAATCAGATGGAGATGAAGGAGTATGGAATGCATAATTAGCTAGCACCTAAGTGTTGTGGATGGCACTCAACTCTGGCAGCTGTTTCCATAGTAATGAGTCACTCTGACCTGCATGGGTGGGTCGTCTAAGCCTCATCCCTGTGGTGCGTTTTCCTACATGTAATGCCACAAGTTACAGCACATTGGGAGCACCCTGATGTACAGCAGCACCCTCCTTCTGTAGGACTCTAGGCCGGGGGCCCTCAGGGAGGGGTGTGTACAAAGGCCCCACATGGGGAAGTGGCATGGGCACTGTTCCGGGACTGGTACACAGGCCCACAGGCTCCCCATGGGCTCTGCCTCACCTCTTGCAGCAGGAGAGCAAAACTCAGCAGTTCAGGGGTCTTTGCCACTCCTGTGCAGTGTCACCCTCTTCCTAGTGGACTCATTTCTTGTCACTAAAAAGCTATAGAGAAGCTGCTGGGGCTCAGCCTGCTGGGGCTTCCAGAAAGGCTGAGCTGCGCACTGCAGGTCAGTGACACTGGGGCAGGTAGCCGGCAGAGGGGAGCCTGGCTGACAACTCTCCCCTCCCAGGTGGGCATCGTGCTGCACTACTCCACACTCTCCACCATGCTGTGGATCGGAGTGACCGCCAGGAACATCTACAAGCAAGTGACCAAGAAGGCCCTGCCATGCCCAGGCACAGACCAGCCACCGTTCCCCAAGAAGCCCCTGCTCAGGTATGCAAGCGCACTTCCGAGCACAGCCCCCTCCATTCCCAGGGCCCTAGGAATCCCAAGGAATCCCCAACCTTTACAGGTCTTGGCAGATTCCTTCACCAGTCAACTCTGTGCCTGAGGATGAGCTGATCCTCATAGGTGGCCTGGGGGTTGAATGGGGCTAGGGAGCTGGGGCAGCAGCATGCAGGGGTGTAAGGGAGCATCCAGAGATGGAGATCAGGGAAAGTGTGCTGGGTATGAGAATGGGGGCAGCAAGGGGAAGGCAAAACAGCATCCTGAGTGAGACCAGGTAGGGCAGAGGGTGAAGCTGGGGTAAGGGCAGGGTCCTGGAAAGGAGCTAAGGGGCAATATGCTGGGGAAGGGACTCAGTGAACCGTAGGGAACAGAGCACTGCTATGACTGGAGCTCAGCTGCTCTGGGGCGTGTGTGTCTGTGTGCTGGGCGTGTTCTTCCCAGATGCCCAGTTCCTGGCATGAGGCCTGCTGTGCCTCCTACGGTAATCGCACTGAAGACTGGTGGTTGTGACTTTGGTTTACTTCCTGATGTCAGAGACTCTAAGATACCTGCTGTTTGCTGGTAGTAAACTATTATGCACTCGGGCAGAGATTTCAAGGCAAGTTTGGATGAAAGTGAATTGGGAAAGGGGACCAACTCCAGCTGGGCATTCCCTGCTCCTTCCTCAGAGGACCCACAGCAGAGCATAGGTAGTGATGCTGAGCAGCAGTGAACTGCAGGCCATGCTCCTGTGCTCCGAGGAAGTTTACTGCCATTCAAAGTTCTACCAGGAGACCGACCATTCCTGCCCTTCCCCCTGGGCTTTCCCATGCTGGAGTGTCTGCATGATGCTGTGATCCCTGCAGTGTCCCTTGGTCACTGGCATGCCACACCCCTCCTGACTCTCAGCCCCTGCCCACCATGGATAGCTACGGACTCACCGCACCCTCCATAGTGCACACACTCTACAGATACAAACTCGGGGTGGCCTAGCCACTGGAGATAGCGTCATCCTCCACCAAGTGCCTGCTCCTCTCTGCTACTCTCTGGTCTGGCTTCGGGCTGGTTGGGGAATGTGCTGCCCCTTCCTGAGGAGACCATGTGAGAAGCAATTGGAGACCTGGAGTCTTTCCTTTCAGATTTCCTAAGGGCCCTCCATACCCTGGCCCACAGCCTCTGCCACCATCTCCTCAACCCAGTGTCCCACTGAGAGGATGCACTTCTCCCAGCCCTACAAAGGGCATCCCTGGGTCTGCATCTCAGGCTTCAGGCCCAAAAGTTATATGTGGCCTGTGAACATCAACATTAACAGAAATTAGTTGCTGTGTGCCAAGAACTTCTCAGCACTATGTAAAGCCCCAAGAGAACCTGACAGGTGCACATCCCACTTAGCCAAACCCTTCCTGCTGGACCCTCAGTCACAACAGGCAGTGAAACTAGCTTCAAGGGTAACTGGTCAAGGTCATTGTCTGCGTATAAAGGAACCCACGTGTCCTGGCCCATCCTGCAAGTTTTCAACAAAGATTTGAAAACTAAAGGTGCCTGAGAGGCTTCTGTGGAAAACCAGATGATGCTATTTGGGCTGTTAATATTTTTTGAAGCCCTCCCCTTCCCTGAATCCCACAGCTGGGTCTGAATGTGCGCTCAGAACATACCTTTGCTCAGCTGTGGGGAATGTATGCTCATGTCCTGGAGATTTCAGGGAATTTTTCAGATCTGAAGTCAATGAATACTATACAAGCTTGAATCCTTTCTGCATGAGTATGGTGGGGGTATGGTTAAGTTAGAGGCCTTCTCTCTTTACAAGACAACTTAGTGGGGAGAGGGCACTGACATCCCCATGATCCCCACTGGTGGGTTGGTAACCTGCTCTTGAGTCAGGACTGGATCAAAAAATGGGAGGACTCATTCAAGACATCAGCCTTTGAAAGTCCAAACCTTTCAACTGAGTGGGCTTCATTGCCAAGGTTAGGGTCATCTATTCACGCCTCAGTCCTGATGGAGGTTTCTGGTTTCTATGGCAACACAAACTAGCGTCTCAATGGAAATTCTGTGATTTTAGATAGTGATTCGCCTGGTTTCATCTCCCCTTAGTCCCAAGACGAGCCCTTCATGTGCACATGGGGCCTTTGGAAGCACTCCATGGCCAGCTGGGCCCTCAGGAAATGGGTGCTGGTCGTGTGGAGAAGAATCAGCCCATCCAGGTCTCCTCCCTGACAACAAGGGTGTAGCGAGAATCCACACCAGAGCAAAGCCCAAAGTATGGAAGCCCAAGCCACATGAGCTGGGGTGAAAAGCAGCCCACACCTAGGCCTGGATCCTGTGTGTGGACAGGTGGACAGATAGACACAGGACATGGTGTTTATATCCTGGGAGTGAGTCATCAGAGGCCCAAACTCCCACGGATAAAGAGGCAGGCCATGAGCAAGTAAGTTCACAAACGGGGCCAGGGTAACTCCTGAGGGCCTTAGGCAGTTTGTCCGGGTCCTGCCGTGGGGACTACGGGGTCTGCAGACCAAATGAGGAAGTATTACTGTTTTCACAGGACTAACTCTTCTAGTCTACAAGAATGAGCCTTCTTTTCATTTACGGACATCTTTAATTTCTTCCTGAAATGCTTTATAATTTGCAATGCGCAAATCTTACACCTCCTTGCCTAAGTCTTTCCTGTTTTTTTTCCTTTGTACTGTTACATAAATGAAATGCTTCTGTATATAAATATAACTAATTCTTGTATGTCAATCTTGTATCTTGCAGCTTTGCTGAGTTGCCTTATCAGATACTATAGTTTGCTGTGAATTCTTCAGAATTTCCCATATAGATGATGTTCATGTCATCTGTGTGTAGGGCTTCCCTACCAATCTGGGTGCTTTTCATTTCTTCCTCCTGCCTAACTGTTTTGGCTAGAACCTCCGAAGCAGTATTAGCTTTCTTTCTTTTCTTTGCACCGTCTTGCAGAGGTTTGCCAACTTTGCTGCGCTTTTTAAAGAACGAACTTTGGTTTATCTGTTTTCTCTCTTTTTCTACTCTCTGTTTTACCTCTGTTGTGATCCTTATGATTCTCCTTCTTCCACTAGCTTTGGGTCTAGTTTGCTCTTCTTTATTCAGTTCCTTCCAGTATAAACATTAGATTATTGATTTGAGAACTTTCTTCTTTAATACAGATGTTTACAACTGTAAAGTTCCCTCTGAGCTGCATTGCTATATCCCAAAGTATGTTGTGCAGCTTTTTCATTTATCTTGATTAGTTTCCTTTGAATTCTTTCCTTGGCTATTGGTTATTTAAGAGAAGGTAGTTTAATTTTCACAGATCATTAAATATTCAGGGAAAAAGATCACCGTCTCTAGAAATGCACTGATACTTTAGAGACAAGAGGAACAAAGACAACCAGCTTGATTACAGCAGCACATCACTGCACAGCTTGTGTCTGTGGAGAGATCTTTGCGACAGTGGTGTCTTGCTGCTTCCTGTATTTGGAAATCTCTGCATCTGCTACAGGCTTTGTGGACAGAGAAGGAACAGGTAATCTGTGTGTCCCACTTGTAGGCAGCCTTAGCCAGGCTCACCACTGTGGCTCTTATGGCGTGTGAAGAATTGAGCAAGTTGTGGGATGGTGTGACTGTGTGCCCAGCAGGAGATACCACCTCCAGGAAGTACCAAGGGCTTGGATCCAAGGCCAGGCTTCACCCAGACTTCATCAAGCTGACTCAGGCCTTGCTGGGGTCTCTAGTGCAGGCGTGGCTGCAAGTTGAGTGTGATTCAGTTCCTGACCCTTCAGTCCTGCCTTGGCCTCTGTGGGTTAGACACTACCTGGGACCTAGTGTGAGCCTTAGGCCAACAACACAAGTGCTGCCCTGAGCTTGGAGGAGGGGCCAACGGGGACAATCTTCAGATAGAATCTCCAGAAAAAGAAAACGTTCTCTGTGAGGGGAGGCCAACCTAGGGCAGAGCAGGATGTGCCCTAAAGAGGGGATGGTGTTGGAAGAAGGGAGGGTAAACAAGAAGGTGGATGGGTGCAAGTGATGGGCAGCATTGGACACCACCCATCCAGCTCTTGGGAGGCACTGCCCCAACTATTCCAGCACCCCAAGGATCGCTTCTGATTCTAGGACACCTCATCTCCATAGTGGCCCTCCAAAGTGGCCATTGTCACATCTGACACCTTCAGCTCTTGTCCATAGGACAAGATCTGATCTTGCCCACAGCCTAAAACCACTGTGGCCATTCCAGGATCCACATCATTCTAGACTTTTAGACACATGGACCCCACAGACATCTCCTCTAGATGTCCCTAGCCACCTCAAGTGTGACCACAAGAAACTAGGACTATCATTCCCAGTATCACAACGATGGTATTTCATTCCTATCTGTGCCATCAGAGATATCTGGCCATTAACTCCTGCTCATTAAATGTTACACCATGAATTAGCCATCAGGACACAGGATATGTTAAATTAGCCTCTGGGGAATCACTTCAGTGTCTAGTCTGAGCTAGACGTTGTTGAACAACAATGTATGATTTTTGCCTCCTGAGGGGAGTGGCCAGCAGAATTAACTACTCTCTGGGCAGGCAGGGCTCCACCGCTAATCCACCATAAGGAGCACGCCAACACTCAAGACACAGAGGCATAGCTTTCCCGAACATGGTTCCTCTATGCACCAGGTCATGTGACAGGACTGCAAGGGCAAAAGCCATAGTGAGCAGGGTCTGGGAGGTCCATGGAAGGGGCTCAAAGTTGCTGCTCTAAAGTATGGGAACACAGAAGACCTATTCCCCTACCTCCTGAAGCAAAACACAGCAAGATATGCACTGTGTTTCCATGCAGGGAGGCTAGCTCAGGCCTCCTCAGGGTTCTTACTGGAACTGGTCACAGGTGCTCTCTATCCACTGACTGGCCACAGGCTCAAATCCTGCAGGCACCCAGAGCAAGTACAGGTGATGAGCACACACCACACTGTTTGCATACGTAGCCTAGAAAGCTGAGTTGCCTGTACTGGTAACATG